CGTAGGACTCATGGGCATCACCATATAGTAGCTCTTGTGCTCTTTCTTTACCCCCACCATATCTTGCTATAATCGACCCTAAGCCCATACGAAGTTAGTAACTCCTTTTGTACGTCGATAGGTCGTAAATCAGGTCGGACCTTTAACGTGGGTAATACTTAGGTCGCAATGAATTGTCGTGACGCCCTAGATTGACCTGCATTATTGCCAAAATTCCCACATGTGTGGTTGTCCACGAAGGTTTTGATTTCAAGTCTGTTCTCATTTTGCGTTGGAGAGGCAAATAACATCCACGGGCATATTTGGGCTTCCTTGAACCAACAAAAGACTCGAATACGCTTCGGTTCATTCTTAGCAAACAAGTACTCGAATTTTTTGGCCATGGAATAGTATAGTAAAGCCAATCTTAATTCCTTCGCACTCTCAAACCGTTGTCCCTCACCGGTTAAAGCAGTGTGCCACCAAGCAGGAATCCTCTCTGAACTGCTAATCATGTCATGAATCATCAGAACATTATCTCCAGAAGGATTATCATTGGGGATCCTATCTGAAACACATGTGGGTGTCGACAACGGCGGGCCACCCTCTATGCTTTTTGAGTTCATACTGCTGGTAGCGCTGCAAATTTAAAGAACATGAATAACACTTAGAACTAACAATAGAAAAGGCAAAAAAAACATCAACTGCTTGTGTTATAACTATCGTGGAATCCAATTGAACTAACAATATTTTATTTAGAACTAACATGAAAACGTTTAGACCGAACATAAAGTCACTTAGAACTAACATGTTGGACCTAACACAGTTTGAACTAGATCTCATAGTAAATCGATTAGCACTAACAATAAGTCTATTGGAACTAACAACTAATAGATTATACTTAACAATAAATCTATAAGTCTATTGGAACTAACAACTAATAGATTATACTTAACAATAAATCTATTAGAACCGACATTAACTGATATTACATGAATTAACGTAGTACCTAGAATTAACAACTTAGCATGAAAAAAATCGGTTGGGTTTAGAACTAGCAAGTTGTGGGCTAGAACTGGCTGTATACAAGCTAGAACTAGTGGGATAGAAGCTAGAACTAACGTAATAGCTAGATTTAACAAGTTTTCATTTAAAAACACTGGCTGGGATTAGAACTAGCAAGTTGTGGGCTAGAACTGGTTGTATACAAGCTAGAACTAGTGAGATAGAAGCTAGAATTTACAAGTTTGCATTAAAAACGCGGGCTGGGTTTAGAACTAGCAAGTTGTGGGCTAGAACTGGCTGTATACAAGCTAGAACTAGTGGGATAGAAGCTAGAACTAACGTAATAGCTAGATTTAACAAGTTTTCATTTAAAAACGCTGGCTGGGATTAGAACTAGCAAGTTGTGGGCTAGAACTGGCTGTATACAAGCTAGAACTAGGGTAATAGAAGCTAGAACTAACGTAGAAGCGAGAATTATTAAGTTTGAATTAAAAAACGAGGGCTGGGTTTATAACTACAAGTTGTGGGCTAGAACTAGCAAATCTATTAGAATCCGAGCTATAATCCAATGAACTAACATTAACTGATATTACATGAATATTGGTCTTAGCATCAAAAAAATCCTTGCCCCTACATGTCATCTCGAACTTGAACGGCGCTGTGGACTTTTGAAGAATCCTCTTTTTCCTTGAAAGCTTGCATGTGAACCTCCTTTAATCCTCTGTTATGGCAATGCTCCACCATAGACGACAGATCCCCCTCGTTCTCAATAGGAAATTTGAAGCTTCCATTTGTTTCTTCTTTGAATGACAAACTTAATGATTCATATGGAAGATCTAACCTATCTGACACATCAAATTTTAGATCAAGAATGGTGGTTGAAGTGTTAATCTTCATGAATACTGCTCTATCACCCGAAGCTACGATGCAGGTGATGTCCTTTTCAGCCATTATGAAGTGGAGGGAAGAGTAATGGAGAGAATTTTGGTCTGAGGAAAAGTAATGGAGAGAATTTTGGTCTGAGGAAGAGTAATGGAAGAGTAATGGATAACTAGATATTTATTGCTCATGATAGCCTGAAAAAGGGGGGAAATTTCCCTCCATTTCTTACAGTAGTTTGCATTTAATGGGATGTGACGAAGAGAGGTGACAAAGCGTTTGGGGAAGAAGGAGAAGGGCAAAGTCGGGTTTTTTTTTAAAATATAATGCCTCTGGCTGTATACAGCTGACGTGGAGGGCCCTAGAAATATTAGAGGCTGCTGTTTGGGGCTTATACACAAGGGGGAAAATACAAGGGGCCTCGTCACATGATTTTTCAGCTTTTGGGGCCCCGACACATTTTTTCCTAATTATTTTTATTAATTTGTTTTGTAAATCCTAGATCTAAATAGTTGATTTCTTGCTGACTGTATGCTTATTTTTATTGAGAGAATATTACAAAGGTCTTTGATTTAGATCTATTACTTGATGATTTTGTTTCTTTCAAAGAGTGCGGTGCATAATTTTAGGATTAAGGTTTTACCTAATTTTTTTTATTATAGTCAACACAAGCTCTATGTATGTTGTTCTATGGTTAGTCTTGTAGTATATATATTATATTTCATCATCGTACTTATATATTTTGTGCGCCCCCCCTGCCCCGCCCCGCCAAAAAAAAAAAAGTTTTTAAATCCTGGATATGCCACTGCATAATATATAAATAGCCACACATCAAACCCCTTTATACAACAAAATATACCAGGACTTGTCTCAAAGTAAGATTTCAGCATAAACCAAAACATTAACATTTTAGGAGCAACTTGAATACCTTCAGTCACTACACCACCATCGGATCGTGAGCAAACCCATCACTAGGTCGATTACCAGGGCCGGTCCTGAGAATTCGGAGGCCCTAGGCAAAAACTTGAACAAAAATCCTAAAGGGGCCCTCCTATATTCAAGATTTTTTTTAAAAATAAAGTGTTGCACCCAAGTAACTTTAGGGTTGCCTACATACCAAGAGATGTTATAACTAACCTCAAGGATCAAACACAATGTAGTTCTCCTTAGCTACCCACCCTGGCCAAAGGCCTACAAATCACACCCTAACACTCTCATTCCCAAAACAAGATCAATGAACCAATAGAAGTATCACTTTATGAAGCCTCTTCTTGCATTTTTAGATGCAAAATCATTAATTAAACTTGTATAATCAAGTTTCTCCACTACATTTTTCTCAATTGACAGTAAAGCTAAGCCGTTCAATCTTTCTTGTGACATAGTTGATCGAAGATAAGATTTGATCAACTTTAACTTTGAAAAGCTTCTTTCTGCAGAGGCAACAGTAACAGGTATGGTCAACAATATTCTGTAAGCAATCCAAGCATTCGGAAAAGTACCATCCAATTTCTTCAAATAATTCAGCACGTCAATTGCTTTTTTTGTTTCTTTTGGTAAGTATTCTCTCAAAAGTTTCAACTCTAAAAATAAATCTTCGCCATCAATATCAAAATGACTGTCATGCTTTAAAGATTCTTCAAGTTTCACACAATAAGCCTTCAAACTAGCATCATCAACAATGCTGAATTTCTTCAAATCAAATAAAAACCCAAAGACTTCTTCATAATGCCGAAATTATTCAAACCTACTCTAAGAGAAGAAATAGCTTGATCCACTATATATAGAAAGTATTTAACTCTAAATGATTCTTCAGGAGATAATATTGTCTCTTCGGTAGCACTTTCATCAAATTGTCTCTTCCTGCGAATGATACGCTTTTCACGAAATACAGCTTTAATTTTCATTTCAGATGCAACATTTTTAGCTTCAGTAATGGCCTCATTAAATCCATTTTCTCTGTACTTTTCAAAAAATAATATAAGCCCATTCAATTGATCTATAGCAATATCAATTTGCATGTCTTCCTTTTGCAAAAATTTGCTAACAGAATTAACAGCAAATAATAAATTGTGCCAAACAATCATACCCAATAAGAACTCAAAATTCTCCATTTCATTTGTTGCTAAGGACTCAGCTTCACTCTTTATTTTTGGATCTCCATCGATACTTGCCAAGTGAATTAAAGCATCTCTTATTTCTGTAGCTTGAAATCTTACTGCTCTTACACTTTCAACATGACTTTCCCACCGTGTTTGTGACAATGGCTTAAGTGTGAGACCAGAAACATGTTCTTTGAAAATATCCCACCGCTTAGTAGAAGATGAAAACAAAGTATATAAACGTTGTATCACTCCAAAAAAAGATATAGCTTTCGGACAAGAGTTTGCCATATCACAAAGTGCGAGGTTAAGACTATGACAACCACATGGAGTATAGAATGCTCTAGGATTTACTTCGAGGAGTCTTTTCTGCACACCTTTATTTTTTCCTTTCATATTAGATCCATTGTCATACCCTTGTCCTCTTACATTAGAAATGTCAAGTTCCAGAATCTTCAATACATCTTCAAGTTCGCTAAAAAGTCCTAGTCCTGACGTATCGTCGACCTTAAGAAATTCTAGAAAGAACTCTTCTACCTTTACTGGACTTTCTGAAACATCCACACATCTTATTATAAGAGTCATTTGTTCTTCATGGCTTATATCTGGAGTACAATCTAGTATAACAGCAAAATATTTTGCTTCTTTAATTATTTTGATCATTGTATGTTTAATCTCTCCCGCTAACATTCCTATCAGTTCATTTTGAATTTTATGACTGAGATAATGCTTATGAGATTCACCACTTTGATAACGTCGAATATGCTCTTTCATTACCGGATCAAATTCGGCAATCATTTCAATTAAACTTAAAAAATTTCCATTGTTCTCTTGATAAATCTTCTCATTATCCCCACGAAATGCTAAACCATTTTTAGCAAGTGTTTTTACAACAGCAACTATTCTTAATAATACTTGTCTCCAATGTTCTCTCTCTTTGTTTAATATTTCTTGCACACTTTTATCAATAGTTTCAATACTACGCAATCTTATTTCTAATTCTATCCAACTTCTCATGCAACTTATGTGCTCACTACTCCCTTCATGACTTTGAAGTCTATGACTAAGATTCTTCCAATTTTTAAATCCTTCATTAACCAAAGAACCCATTTGATTCTTGTTTCCATCTTTTCTAAATAATTTGCAACAAAAGCAAAATACCACATTCAAAGAAGTTGAATATATTAGCCATCTCCTATCATGTTTCTCTCCATTTAACCATTGTCGAGTGTAATGAGTGGAAGAGAAATGTCTGCCTTCAATATCTTTAGGAAAATCAATAACAACTCTTTTGGGTCCTCTTTCTACTAAAAGATCTCTCAATTTTTGATCAATATTACCCCAATTTGCTGGATCGTCAACATTCATGTTTTCATTGACACTCTCAATCCTAAGTTGAGTAGGTTCCTCAATGTTTCTATCATCTTCTGCAGGTTCTTCAATATTCATATTGTGTTCAGTAGGTTCTTCAATATTCATATCATTTTTCTGTTCTTCATTTTGATTTTCTTCATTATTATGTTCTTCGTTATCATGCTCTGTATGTCTACTACTAAAAAACTTATCTAGCGCTCCTGCTTGAGACTTTTCCAATTTTTCCAATTTTTGTTTCTTTTTTCTTTTTTCATATCCAGAACTATACTTTCTAGGAAGCATGATGAACGCTGAAAAAATATGATCAATCAACAATGCAAATTTCAGATCAACAAAAAATTATATACAAATACTAAAATACATAAGATCAACAAAAATTATAATTTATGAAGTTATAAAATTACCTTGAAATTTGAATAGCTTCACTTCAAACAAATTTCAGATCAACACGCTTGAATCCTAAAAGATGCACTTTTATCTCTTGTTCCTATTCAATAGACAAAAACAAAGTTTGGACTTAAGATTTTTTTTGGGACACGAATACGATGCAATCATTTGATCATATTGGGTCATGAAACAAGCTCTGAAATAAATCATATAATTGAATGGTAACATGCATCAACTAGTTTTTGGCCATGGTAACAAGCTCTGAAATAAATCAAATTTGATGTTAATATATCAAAACTGGACATAGGATTATAGGAATCTCCATTTAGGTTAATTAACTTACTTTTATCCGTCTTTAAAAGTCTATGAAGCTATTGCTAAAGGACAAAAAAAAAGTTGTAGGATGCTGCAGTAGGACATTAGTCAATTATAGCCTACAAAGCTACTTAGCTAGTAGCTACACAATTACATAGTTTACTGTTTACACTTTACATTAGTCAATTACAGCCGAACATGCCAGGTTTAAGCGAAAAAGCATCTCGCACCTTAATTCGGCGGAGGAGGCGTCAGGCGTAGACGGCAAACAGACTCGGCGAGGTCGCGTTTTCCGGTGGGAGGGGCGGAGGGAGTCGCCGGAGGCGGCGCCGTGGAGTTCGACACTTCGACGAATCGACGGTGGAGCCGTGGAGGAGCGGACGGAGTCGGGAATAACTGAAGAAGATGAGAGGTCAGAGAGAGACCTAGGTTTTGTCACTTTTGTGTATTTATAGGAATTGGAATTATGCTATTAGAACCCTCTAACAATTTTGCACAAAAATCCTCTTACTTTTTCATATCTATAAAAGGTATAGAAGTATTATATTGGGGCCCCTATTTTTTGAGGCCCTAGGCGAAGGCCTCTCCCGCCTACCCCTAGGGCCGGCTCTGACGATTACATACCACCAAACTTTGTTCTTTATTAGCCAAAGCTGCAACCGCTACATTTGCGGCTTGGCGACAACTAACAAAAAAAAAAAAAAAAAAAATCAAAATAATCAGCTTGAGCTGAAACATCTAAAGAATGATTGGCCTTTTGTGCAAAAATACGAGAATTGCGCTCGTTCCAAATCAGCCATAAAACTGACATCCCAAAGTAAATGCTGGTTAGTATGCACAACATATAATCTCCATGAAGAGCACAAATGTTCAAGAGAGAAAATAGACCAGATAAGGAGAATTTATGTAAAAGAGTTCTCCAGCTAGAGAGCACGAAAGGACATGAGACAAAAATATGTTCATATGTTTCATAATCATCACCACACTGGGGGCAAATAGGATCAATAGCAATTAATCCCTTTTAGTATCAACCTATCTCTGGTATTCTATTTAGCTTTCGAAACAAATCAAAGAAAAACTTTAACTTTAAGAGGAATAGATATTGTCCGCAAATTCATATATTAATTATGATGTAACCTCACCATCAATTTGAAACTGATAAGAGGATATAAGAGGTTTTGACAATTTCTTGTTTGACAAAACTTAGACTTCTACTGGGCGGGCTTTGTTCAGGTTGAAAAGAGACCATAAAGCTAGTTCTTTAGACTAGCACCCCTAGTTTAATTCAGAACTAGTTTAGGAAAGAGTTGGGCCAGGACTGGTAAAGTTAGATGGGAAGATAAAAAATGAATTAGCCCAAGGAAAGACAATAGCACAAGAAGTCCAGATCGAGTATGATGTTACAATCGACGTAGATGATGAAGATACTACTCCAGAATTAGCTTAGAAAAAAAATAAAAGTGAAGAATGCTTGATCTTGACTCAATAAAGAACGAAACAGAAAGAATAAAAGACAACATTTTCTTAATATTTTATAGAATAACCTAATTTTTTTAGTAAAATTAGGAATATTTGGAAGAGATATTCACGAGTTTTTAAATATTTTTATATACTTATTTTGTGGACGCTTTTATCATATAAAATTATACTAGAGTCAGCATTAATATTTAATTTATAGTTTTTAATGAAGTCTATCAATGATTAGGAATAAAATCCATATTCTCTTTTGTGCCATTTTAACCACTTCTAATCAATTGTCTAGACTTATTGCCTTTACTTATTCCTCTTGCTATTATAATGTTATTTTTCAAGTATTTTAACTTTTGCAACACTATACTTAGGTAAAGCTTCATTTCATGTCAATCCAAATAACATGAATATTCAAATTGGCTTCACGTTGATTTCATGTCAATTCAATTATCAACATGAAACTTAAATTGAGTGTAGTCTATTCAAACAAACATTAAAGAAAATAAGTAATCACAATATTAAATTTTAGAGACATAAGTGAGCAAAAACTATCAAATTGAAATCGAAGAACAAATTTTAATAAGAAAATAAACTAAAAATAAATAATTATAATATTTAACACGTGCAATACACGTGCATAAAAACTAGTTAAACGAAAAGCACAACATGTCGCATCTCATTGCATCTCCCCTCACCCCACCTACCCTCTCCGTATCCCGTACCCTGCCTATTTGGCTAGAAAATTTGGTGACTAGAGAATATATAGTTTGGGCCAACATAAGTATCGTGGCCCATTAAGTATGTTCAAAATCCCAAAGATGTGGCCCATTAGGCAAAATATTTGTGCAACTATTGGACGGTCGAGATTAATCAATCTATCTGCCCTCTTGATGTAAACCCCAAACCTCACAAACCCCAATTTCCCTGAGCATATATAACTTCAGGCCGCGGTTTTCTCTGTTTCCTTCTCCCGTTCGCTCATCTCGCCGCTTTGATCTCTTCGTTAGATCCAAGATGAAGGTAATAATGCTAAACCTAGATCTAAAGATTACTTCTTTTTGTGTTGTAGAATCGGAACCTTCTCATGCTGTTAGATTTGATGATTCTATTCCAAATCTAAGTTTTAATGACAATTTTTTTTTGTGGTTTTTTTAGTTCAATATCGCCAATCCCACCACTGGGTGCCAGAAAAAGCTCGAGATTGACGACGACCAGAAGCTGTAAGTTTTTTCATTTACAAGTTATGCTCTTTTGAGTTCCTTTATTAGTTTCATTGCGCCTTTGTTGCATTATTTGTTCCTGTTTAATATTTCATAGGTTGCCAAAGATGGTGTATTTATTTTATTTGTTACTTGGTTAATTACGGTTTCTAGTACTTAGTCTAAACCATATGTGAGTGTTTAGTACCTATGATCTTGTCATTGTACAGCATCATATGTGAACTTTGAGCTAATTATTACCCACAGTTGTTAAGGTTGGAGCTTAACACGTAGAAGGCTTCTCTTATCCCATAAACTCATTAAGTACCTTTGTCAAATGGGATATTCATGAAATAGTTCCCCAAAACTCATATAAATAAATCCCTGAATCACTTAAGTTGTCTCAAATAAGTCCCTCAGGCCATAATCTGTCATCTGTCTGCAGTTTTATTCTTGCTGGGATAGCTAATTATGGCAACAACCTTTATCTTCTTCGAAATTCACCCTTAAAACTATTTTTTCTTTGAATTTTACAGAACATAAACTCATGTATGACTGTTGTTTGGCTGAATAACCTGACATGTAACTTCGCTATGGACGTTTTTCAGAAATAACATCTGCAGACTAGTGGTTCAATGTCGTTTGATGCAGTGCCTTTGTTTTTTGAAGTTTTAATGTTTTACGAAATGACTTTCCAGATCTCATCTACGCCTTAAGTTGTTATTGCAAGTTTTTTTTTGTTTTAAGAAGCAAGCTTATTATAGAATGTTAATGATAGCAAGTAGTTAATGGGCATTTTTGCATCTATTATATCATTTCTATGTGTTCTCTGTCCATTCAGTTGTATCATTACTAATAACTTCAAATAAAAGAATGTCCAGTCCTTTTCTGTTTCTGTGCGCAACATGTACTGCTTTTGATGTTATTTTGTCACCCTTATGATTTTAATAACCGTTCATTCTTTGTTCTTAGTCCTTTGGGTAATTGATCTGGGAATCTTATTCTATGACATTATTAGTTTGTTATATCTACTGTTCTACAGTTCTGAATACTTGTGAGACATCATGCACTAATCAGCAGTATCTTATTTGGCGAACATCTCTTCCACTATTTCTCCCTAATTTGTTTGTGAGACATTGCAATTTAATTCTCAGTATAGGCACTATGCAATTTGATTCTTACTGTATGTAAATTACCATCTAAGCCATCATCCACCCTATTTCCTCTGTTGGTTGATGTGTGTCCATGTTACTTACTGTCTGTAAACATGCATGGCTGCGCATTGCATATTTTATTTTCTGATTCATGTCCTGACTGTTCTTCTCTTATACAGCCGTGCGTTTTATGATAAGCGTATTTCACAAGAAGTCAGTGGTGATGCTCTTGGCGAGGTAAGACTACTATCTGACAACACAATACTTCCTTTATACAGCCGGGAATTCTATGTATTTTCAGTTTTTCTTTTATTATTTATTAAACTACTGTACATATTCATTTGTTATTATTTTTCTTATCGATATACTCAGGAGTTCAAGGGATATGTTTTCAAAATCATGGGAGGTTGTGACAAGCAGGGTTTTCCCATGAAGCAGGGAGTGCTGACTCCTGGTCGTGTCCGCCTATTGCTGCACAGAGGCAAGTTTAAATTTCCTTAATTACATTCAGATATCTAAGCTCTGTCAATAAACGTGATAATTGTTTACGAACTGATAATTTGTTTCTTAACAGGAACACCTTGCTTCCGTGGTTATGGAAGGCGCAATGGAGAGCGAAGAAGGAAGTCTGTGCGTGGGTGCATTGTTAGCCCTGATCTCTCTGTCCTCAATCTCGTTATTGTTAAGAAAGGTGAGAATGACCTTCCTGGGTTGACTGATGTTGAGAAGCCAAGGATGAGAGGACCATATTGTTAAGAAAGGTGAGAATGACCTTCCTGGGTTGACTGATGTTGAGAAGCCAAGGATGAGAGGACCAAAGAGGGCCTCCAAAATCCGTAAGCTGTTCAACCTTTCTAAGGAAGATGATGTTCGCAAGTATGTCAACACTTACCGTAGGACCTTCACTAACAAGAAAGGTTAGTTATTTACGTTTATCTGTTGCAAACTTAATTTGGTAATTATTTTGATGATTGTTTTGCTTTTACTATGTTTTTTGGAGAGACGTGCTGTTACTATGTTGTCAGTGCCTTTTCGCTTTTTCTTTCTTGCTATGTTTAAAAACATAGAATGATAGAAGAGCCCTTTGTCTTTTTCTAGTTTTGGTTCCTGCCTCTGCTTATTCCATTTTTATCAGTCACAAGTGTTTTCTACTTTTTTGAATCTCAATTCGTTGCAAAATATTGAGAACTCATAATCCGTCATCCCATGTTGATCTTAAATGGGAAAAAGGGTTGATATTGGTTTTGACAGTATAATGTTGATCTTAAATGGGGAAAAGTGATGATATTGGTTTTGCCAGTATAAAAGTTCTCCCTTGGTGGTATATTCAAGCATAATTTATATAGTGATGATCAGTGTTGTAAATAGCGGCCAATAGCGGGGCTATAGCGGCGCGAATAGCGGTCGCGGCCCTTCAGCGCTACGCGTGGGGGTTTCGCGGCTGGCTTAAGCGGGAAAATCCGCTATTCATTCGAATAGCGTGTAAAAGCGGATTTTAGCGGGTTAAAAGCGGGTTTTCACGGTTAAAAGCGGATTTTCGCG